AAATGTCACAAGTCATTTCATCAATTCCGAGAAGTTGGGAAAAAAATAATAGCGTCTATTTTTTGATACCGTGGGCACACACGATAGACTGACAAATAAAGCTTTCAAAGCAGTTTGCATTGGACTCAAATCATTTTAAAAACTTCTTCGTGGTCATCTTGCTGCAAGTGACGCATCTAATCTGTGTTTAGTTAACAAAAATTATATGAACTTCGTTGTCATAGCATTCTGCATTTGGTACTTTTTCATAGATCTTCTTCGAATTGACTCACGGAACAGCCCTCCTAACCTCCAGCCCCCCCAGCCCCCCCCTACCCACCCACACACACATTTTTAGCAAGCAGCAAGAGGACTTGTGCAAATATGCAGTGAAAACTCCTTAAGTGATTTTAATAAGATCCACTAGCCAAAAAAAATAAAAAATGAATGAATGCCAGAAGATGAGTATCACTTCTTAGTGGGCATGTAGGCACGGCAGCTTCCAATAATCTTATCCATTCCATCGGCTGCTCCTATGACTATCCACTTCTTAATGGGCATGTAGGCACGGCAGCTTCCAATAATCTTATCCATTCCATCGGCTGCTCCTATGACTATCCACTTCTTAGTGGGCATGTAGGCACGGCAGCTTCCAATAATCTTATCCATTCCATCGGCTGCTCCTATGACTATCCACTTCTTGGTGGGCATGTAGGCACGGCAGCTTCCAGTAATCTTATCCATTCCATCGGCTGCTCCTATGACTATCCACTTCTTGGTGTGCATTTAGGCACGGCAGCTTCCAATAATCTTATCCATTCTGTCGACTTCTCCTATTAATATCCACTTCTTGCTGTGCATTTTGACACAACAACTTCCAATAACCTGATCCATTACTTCGAATTCTCCTATTAATATCAACTTCTTGCTGTGCATTAAGACACGGCTACTTCCAATAATCTTATACATTCTGTCGACTTCTCCTATTAATATCCACTTCTTGCTGTGCATTTTGACACAACTTCCAATAACCTGATCCATTCCTTCGAATTCTCCTATTAATATCAACTTCTTGCTGTGCATTAAGACACGGCTACTTCCAATAATCTTATCCATTCTGTCGACTTCTCCTATTAATATCCACTTCTTGCTGTGCATTAAGACACGGCTACTTCCAATAATCTTATCCATTCTGTCGACTTCTCCTATTAATATCCACTTCTTGCTGTGCATTAAGACACGGCTACTTCCAATAATATTATCCATTCTGTCGACTTCTCCTATTAATATCCACTTCTTGCTGTGCATTTTGACACAACAACTTCCAATAATCTTATCCATTCCTTCGAATTCTCCTATTAATATCAACTTCTTGCTGTGCATTAAGACACGGCTACTTCCAATAATCTTATCCATTCTGTCGACTTCTCCTATTAATATCCACTTCTTGCTGTGCATTTTGACACAACAACTTCCAATAATCTTATCCATTCCTTCGAATTCTCCTATTAATATCAACTTCTTGCTGTGCATTAAGACACAGCTACTTCCAATAATCTTATCCATTCTGTCGAATTCTCCTATTAATATCCACTTCTTGCTGTGCATTTAGACACCTCAGTTTACATTGGTTTACGTTGGATCGATCCAAGTAAGATGTCCTTCGTCTGTTTTTGATTGATTGATTTGATATTTATATCTCGCCGGTATCCATGCCATTTTAGCATGCTCACTGCGCTCTGGTCCTCTGAAATCTATTTAAACAAAAAAGTTTTAAATTGTTTTTAAACGATTTATTGTCATTTACAATTCTCCTCAAAGATTTAGGCAAAATGTTCCATACTTTTGGCGCTATCGCTTCAAAAGAGCGCACTCCGAACGACTTTTTGTCTGTGTTTACCCACACTAGGAACACTCAGCAAGTACTGTGATGCAGACCATGTTCCCCGGGCTAGACATTGAAGGGCCGTCTGAATCATTCTAACCTTCTACTATGTCTTTGCCTGACGAGCTGGTCGCAAAGCATGGGCTTAAGCTTGAACCTGCAATTGCCTTCCAGAAAGATGGTTGATGATATTTGTTCATCTTCATCATCGATATGCTATTTAGCCCCATCGCCATATGTTGGCATGACCTACAGACCGGATATGTTAAATTTTCTCTCATCTTCTTCCAAACACATCAAAAATATCAATGATGGGAAGATTTCTTATGATTTCGGAACATTACAAAAATTTATGTCAAAAGCAATTTTTTTTGTTAACAACAATTGCCGAAAAGAAAAAGGAAATGAGACGCACAAATGTAATGTTTTAAAGGTACAAATTTAAACCCCAGTTTACGATTAATAAAATGATCATGGACCAACATTTATGATCAATAAAATGGCGCAGAAGAGTTACAACATTTCTAGTAATTAAAATGATTCATAAGTTTTGTTAACTTGATACCGTGAAAAATAAGACAAGAAATCCTTGAAACAACCATACATGCTGCTTCATGGATGAGCGCATATTTAAAAAAAGTAAAAAAAGGGTTGTGTTTTACGACGAAAAGCCTATTCTGTGGCCTTTCTGTGAATATTGAAGTAGTGCTGCGAAATTTGAAAATTAAAAAAAAAAAGCACTCATTTTTTGAACGGTTTGCAAAAATGGCTAAAATTAAAATACAAGCAGAAATGATATCTAGAAGTACGCATATTACTCACAGATTATAGCCTCAGAAAGCCTTTCCCAGGGGTCGCCTCATACCATCTGAAAACATATATGCTCTACAGTTATGAAAAAGCCAAGAAAATAAATTTGTGGCTGGGGGTCGCCACAGCACGAGGGACGGTGCTAAAGGGTGGCGGCATTAGGAAGGCTGGGAACCAATGTTCTAGATTATTTCAATTCGTGACTTTGCTTAAAACTAACCCGTGTAAACAGGTCATTGGCAGCCGAATATTTCCAATGATGGGATGGACTGAATGCGATGGTTGCCTTCACCCACTTCGTCTTTTTATCTATGTTGGTATTCCCACGTGTGTGAATAACTTATGTCTATTGAAACCAAATTTTAATGAGAAATGCCACACGGTCTGATATGTCACTACATCACTTCTTCCTAATACGTACAGATCCTGGGGGGCCCAGTGCCTTCAAACTTTTATGTCGCGACACAGGATGCAGAGACAAAGGTTCGTCTTTGCAATTATATTGACGCAGAAAGTCCGCGTACATACATTTATAAATCTACTGGTACATTGCTAATCTTTTGTTTTCACGTTTCTCAGTTCAATACCATGATGTCTACCAATCCAATACTGTCGATGCTGCTGATCTGTCTGTGTAGTTCACTCTGCGGTGAGTTGGCGAAGCGATCTGCGTTTATTAAAACTTTCTTCAGAAGATAAGATAGATGAGACAAGATGCAATAAGATAGGATAGGTCAAATTAAAATAAGAGAAAAAAACCTTTCGATCAAATTAAAGAGACACGTGTTTAAAAAAAAAAGATTAAAAAACAACAACAACAACATAAACATTCTCATATCGATGTTTTATACCTGTAATTTAAAAAAAAAATAGATCGAGTAGTTACATATTCTCTTATTTGTATGTCAATAATGACAAACGTGATTTGAGGAATGCAAAAAAATATTTCACATTACCATCAACGTTTTAGTTGACATTCCAACTAAATTTACAGCTTAACTTTTGTGTGTGTGTGTGTGTTGACTTTGCCTTTACTTTTCAGTTAAAGTTAAAGCTAACATAACACCTTAAACGACTTTTAAAATGACAGCCAACAGCACAGCTAACATGTCACGTAACCTTACACTTATCGGTACAGTTTAACATCACAGTTAAAATCCCACATTCAGCGTTGACGCTAACAGTAAAGTTTGTCTTTACGTTTTACACTACAGGTGTTAGTACAGCTGTGCGTACAGGAAAGGGTGCAGCAAGGAGAAACTGTTCAAGACGGTGCCCCAAGCTGTACCGACCAGTGTGCGGCAGCGACGGCGTCACCTACGACAACGAGTGCTTCTACGGGGTCGCCAACTGCCTCCGAGGAGCTGGGCAAGAGCTCGAGATTGTCAAACACAGGGCCTGCGACGCCGAAACCCCTTGCCTGAAGCCGTGCGCTAAAATTCTGCGCCCGGTGTGTGGCGACAACGGGGAAACCTACGGCAACGAGTGCGAACTGAACAACGGAAACTGCTATCGGCCCCAATGGGATCCCGTCACAAAAGTCCGCGACGGTCGGTGCGGAGAAGCGGCGCCGAACGACGAGTGCCCGCAGGCCTGCACGCTGGAGTACAATCCCGTGTGCGGGACCGATGGCGTCACCTACCCCACGCGATGCGTGATGAACGCCCAAACCTGTCTGAGACCGAAGGAGGAGAGACCGACCGTCGCGCACAGCGGAGAATGCGAGGTGGTGCAACCTGCAGGTTCGCCGAGCGGTGCGCTCCCGTCGGCCGTCGCGTCACCATCGTAACCGACAGCGTGATAACGCGTCATCAAGGCAGCATACGGATTCTGACGATACACAACCGAAAACGTCTCTGATACATTGACCAGTTTCGTCATGGCAGTGGACCGTCTGGCAACCGTCTCTGGTTGTAGACTAAAAATACACAGAACCATATGTACTTGTTTGACCTTTATCAACCATATAATAAATATATATACAAGTAATTAATTTTTTTTATTATCTTTTAACATATCTCGAAAAGGAGTGACAAACGTAAATATATATCAACAAAATTAACATCAACATGGTTCTCAATTAAAATAGAATGTGAGAACCGTTTCCTGAAACAAAAATAAAAAGTCGATATCTTCGATCTTTCTAGTTATAAACATCACAAAGGTAAGACACCCCCCCCCCCCTCCTCCCATTGGTTCTCAATTAAAATAGAATGTGAGAACCGTTTCCTGAAACAAAAATAAAAAGTCGATATCTTCGATCTTTCTAGTTATAAACATCACAAAGGTAAGACACCCCCCCCCCAACCTCCCATGCACATTGAACGTTTCCCTTCTGTTTCCATGATCCGATTTTGGGAAATTACTTACGCCGAGGCTCCACTAGCCTTAAATAAAACGCGATCTTTAATTAAACCTAAACTTGGGCAAAAATAGAAAATTTCAACACTTAGACTAATTCTCTTAGTCGTGGCTTGGCAGTGTAAGGTGGATTCAACGTTTAATTTTAATTTTAACATAGGCCTGGCGCAAAAAAAAAAAACAAAAAAAAACAAAACAAATGCACCGGTTGTGCCATTGTTGAACAAAATGGCGTTCGAATTAACGTTGTGTTTTTTTTAAGTACTCCGGCCACGCCCCTTTATTTCATCCACAATAACTGAATGGCACCGACACGTGCTAGAAATCTGTGCGTTGAAAACATATAGACATTGTTGTAGAGGCAGCTCACCTTATCAGTTGAGAGGACAGCGGCTCGTAGAAACATTCTTCAGGTATAGTTTCATATACATCGATTTACATATTTGTTAATCTTTTATTTTGCGGTCTAGACAAATTTTACCCAGTTTTTAGATATTTATCTTGTTGTCTTTTTTTAAAAAAAATAATTAGAAAATAAAAAAAAATTGAAGTAAATATTACGTGTAATTTTATAATATTTTTTTGATATTATTTTTATATATTTTGATAATTAATCTTTTTAAAACAAATGTTTACTTATTTCAATCTATACTTATTAAATTATGTATATATATATATATATATATGGGTGTGTGTGTGTGTGTGTGCAGGTGTGTGTGTGTATGTGTGCGTGCGTCTGTGAAATTTCCATCTTCTTAAGGTACAAGGCAAATCATGAATTCAAGAAAGCTTGTAGAGAGGTTCTCAGTTAGTTCAAACACATTGACAATTGTAACGCGCGAAATTCACATCGTCTAAAGTTGCTTTAAAAAAAAACAAAAAAAAAACTCTAGTAACGCACATGATAAGAATCACATTTGGCGCAAACTTCTGGACATTTTTTTTTTTGCATGCTACTGAACGTGCCTTTTGAACCCAACATCCCAGCCATTCATACAGGCGTTCATACAGGCATTCATAAAGGCATTCATACAGGCGTTCATACAGGCATTCATACAGGCGTTCATAAAGGCATTCATACAGGCATTCATACAGGCGTTCATACAGGCATTCATACAAGCGTTCATACATCATTTTTTTTTTTGCATGCTACTGAACGTGCCTTTTGAACCCAACATCCCAGCCATTCATACAGGCGTTCATACAGGCATTCATAAAGGCATTCATACAGGCGTTCATACAGGCATTCATGCAGGCGTTCATAAAGGCATTCATACAGGCATTCATACAGGCGTTCATACAGGCATTCATACAGGCGTTCATACATGCATTCATACAGGCATTCATACAGGCCTTCATAAAGGCATTCATACAGACATTCATACTGCGCATTTATCAAGGCATTCATACAGGCGTTCATAAAGGCATTCATACAGGCATTCATACAGGCATTCATACAGGCATTCATACAGGCGTTCATACAGGCATTCATACATGCGTTTATAACTTCATTCAAACAGGCATTCATACAGGCATTCATACATGCATTCATACAGGCATTCATACAGGCATTCATACAGGCATTCATACAGGCATACATACAGGTGTTCATACAGGCATCCATACGGGCATTCATATGGGCATTCATACAGGCATTCATACAGGCGTTCATACAGGCATTCATACGGGCTTTCATACAGGCGTTCATAAAAGAATCCATACAGGCATTCATACAGGCATTCATACAGGCGTTCATACAGGCATTAATACGGGCTTTCATACAGGCGTTCATAAAAGAATCCATACAGGCATTCATACAGGCATTCATACAGGCGTTCATACAGGCATTAATACATGCGTTCATAAAGGCATTCAAACAGGTATTCATACAGGCATTCATGCAGTCGTTCATACAGGCGTTCATACAGGCATTCATACCGGCGTTCATACAGGCATTCATACTGGCATTCATACAGGCATTCATACAGGCGCTCATACATGCATTCATCCAGGTATTGATGTAGGCATTCATACAGGCATTCAATACAGCAATTCATACAGGTATTAATACAGGCATTGATACAGGCATTCACACCTAGATAACATTCTTCATTTTTATGATACATACATAAGTTGCCTGTTTAAAATTCCCCAGACCAATCCAAACAATGTCTCCTAAACTGACTGTCTCGCTGTTTGTGTTCTGGCTCAGCTGTTCCCTTTGGGGTGAGTCCTCTTTCAGCTCTGCTTCGTATTCATTTTTGTTCATAAGATAAAATTAAACAAAACCCCAAAAACAATAATTTTTTTTATAAATACTATAGCTACATATTTTAAATTTGCTTTTATATTAAATCTAATGTAACACACGCTTTTTACGCCGCAGATTTATTTCACCAACTATTTCAGAAAAAAAAGAAGAAACAAATTACGCACCAAACGCACTTGCGATATTTTGTTTTAGATTAAGAATCACATTTAGGGCAGTTATCAGCCACTCTATTTCCTGAAATCAGTGACATCATATTTCCATCATCTCCCCCTGGAAAAACAGTGACATATGATTTTTAAGAGTTTGGTGGGTTGAAAATTTGATAGAGTGTATCGTCATCTGCAGCGAGTCTATGTGCCATGCTGAGGATGGATAGGTTGACGGAAGTGGGTCAGTTAACAACCCCCCCCCCCCCGAAGATTTTCGCATCCAGGCGCAAACAAAGGCGAATTTCATATAAAGGATTTAAAAATATGATGCCGTCGTCAACTGATCGAGCCTGACAGAAGTGTTGTTTTTTTTTTAGATTGATCGGTTCAGTTTACTCAAAATAATAATAATAATTAGTGGTCTTATATAGCCTAGGGCTGGGCTCACCGCATTGTACATAAAAATATTAGCAACAGAGACAAAAATCATGACATTAAAATAAAATACATTTATGACATAAAGAACAGCGTGGAACCAAAACAACAAAAACACATGTATATTCACGCACCCCACCACAGAATTTTTACATAGCAAACCATGCAGGATCGTTTATCGGTCAGAGGAAGGGAATCAGTCAGGGTAGTAGAGTTTAAAGAGATGTGTTTTGAGTGCAGTTTTGAAGGTGTGGGTGGTTGGTATATTGCGGATGTGTAGTGCAAAAGAATTCAAATGTCGGGGGGCGCAAAAAGAGAAAGATCGTTCACCATATGTTTTAGTGTGTGCTTTGGTAACGGACAGAATACGTGTGTCTGCGGAGGAGTGAAGCTGTCGAAGGGGTGAATAGACAGAAAGAAGTTCGGTTAGATAGGAAGGGCAGGAATCCGAGAAGACGTTGTGACAGAGAACAGACAACTTGTAGTCAATGCGTGCCTGTATAAGGAGCCAATGAAGGGATTCGAGTAGTGGAGTGACGTGATCACGTTTTTTAGCCTTTAGAACTAGCCTAGCAGCTTAGTTTTGAACTCTCTGCAGTTTTTCTATGCAGTGTTTTGGTGAACTTGACAGAAGAGAGTTGCAATAGTCAAGTCGAGAGAGAACAAGAGCACAGACTAGGGTTTTTATTGCGCTAACTGTGAGGTAGTGGCGGATGGAACTGATCTGACGGATGGCGGTGTATGCCGAACAACAAATGTGAGAGATAATTTTATCAAGAGAAATGTTGTTAGAAAGAATCTAAACAAAATTCCTAGCAAAGGGTGTAGACTGTTTGTCGGAGTTACCTACTTGAAATGTGGTGGGAAGAGTTGAGGTAGAGGATGATGTGTGATTGTGAATGAGCAGTGCTTCCGTTTTGTCATCATTATGCTTCAACTTGCTGAGTGTCATCATGACTTGACATCATCTAAGTCTGGACAGCGGAATCGACAAGAATGGGATGGGTATGCTTGTATAGTTGCGTGTCATTTGCAAATGACTGTCTCTCAACAGCATGCCTCCCAAGCAAGAGGAGCAGTGGTCTGGTATACAATGCGAATACATCCGGGCCCAAAATGGACCCCTCTGGCACTTCGTACACCAAATCAGAGAAAAAAGTTCAAGTGTCAACTGACGTAATTTTTTTTTCTTCCTTTTTTATGTACAATTTCAGAAGAATGTAAATTCGAAAATGTTTAGTCATGTCACAGGGACGATTAAAATTTTTGATTTCTAATTTCACACCTCTCACAATGTTTGTGAGCCTCCCAAAGCGCATACCATTGTTTAAAATTTCACTGAAAGCGTCGAATGCCAGATATTGTGTCTCGCCAACTGAGAGGACAAGATAGAAAAAGAAAGTTTTAAAAAAATAAAAAATATATATATATCTTCTTCTTCTTCTATATCTTAAGGGCCCACGATCAATTTATTGATCATTTGGGCTCTTATGCATGTAGAGGGGATTTGCAATATTTCTGTTCATGATGTTGAGCCTCCCCAAGATAGAAAAAGAAAGTTTAAAAAAAAAAATATGTATATATCTTCTTCTTCTTATATATCTTAAGGGCCCACGATCAATTTATTGATCATTTTGGCTCTTATGCATGTAGATGGGATTTGCAATATTTCTATTCACGATGTTGATGAGGAAATTCCACTGATTTCCAGTGTCACTTTGTGAGGGAATCATGCACTAGGGGTTTGAAGGCTTGAGGCAATAGACACAAATGTGTCTATTGTTGTCGCCTCAAACGTTCATTTTGGAAGATTGTTCCAGTCCCTGATTGTCTTGGGCAGGAATGAGCTGCTCCTATACTGGCTTCTTGCTGGTATGAGTCTGAATTGCCTGTCATGGCCTCGTCGCTGTCTATGGGGGAGAGGGGCGAGGTTCTGTTTAATACTGGAACACTGGACCAGCCCATTATTTATCTTGTACATCATGGAGAGCCTGAATTGTCGTCGTCGTTCCTCCAATGGTGACCAGCCCAGTGTTTCCAGCATGCTGCCAACACTAGAGGTATTCCAGAAGCGGTTTAGGACAAAGCGTGCTGCTCGTCGCTGGACCGCCTCCATACTGTCAATGCTTCTGGGTAAATGGGTCCCAGACTGAAGATGCATAATCTATAATCGGACGGACAAAGGCTTTATATGCTCTTTCTTTCACACATGAGTTGCCAATCTTTAGATTTGGCCTTAAGAACCCCAGGTTCTTGTTTGCTTGGTTACATACATTGTTTTTATGCTCGTCCCAGCGGACCTCTCTTTGAATGGTAACACCCAGGTACTTTACGGAGGAAACTTGCTCAAGTATATGGCCGTGCAGTTTGTATTGGTAGTGTAGAGGAGTACAACTTCTAGAGACTGATAATTACTGGCACTTGGCAAGGGGAAATTCCATGTCCCAGCTCATCTCCCACTAAGCTAACAGATTGAGATCCTCTTGTAGCTGGTCCTGGTCAGATCTGTTGGCGATCGTCCTATGCACTGCTGTGTCATCTACGAACAGTCTTGCCTGTGATGTCAGTTTCTCGGGTAGTTCATTAATGTATGCTAGGAACAAACAGGGGCTGTAACGGGAACTCCCAGCGCCTTAAACCGTGTACTAGAGTTCTGCATCTGGTACATGGTGGTGAGGGGGGGACCTGTCCCAACGAGAGTGAACTGAAAAGTGGACATTGTCGTCAGAATTATGTATTTTAATTTTGAAAGAAAAAATTAATAAAGTTACACAACTCTTGCGTTAGAGCATTCGTCACATACCACATTCTTTTAGTTTAAACTGTATTCTTATCAGGGAATAGGTATTCATGACCTGCAACTGGATATGCACAATGTAATGGAAATACTTCCTTCTTTTTGGCTTCAATAACTGAATTGAATCTACTCTTAAGTAATCTTAGGCTAATATCATAAATCTAATCTTAATCTAATCTTAATTTAAAATTAATCTAATCTTAATCTTATCTTAATCTTATCTTAATCTTATCTTAATCTTAATTTATCTCAATCTAATCTTAATCTAATATGAATCTAATCTTAATCTAATCTCAATCTAATCTCAATTTTATCTTAATCTAATCTTAATCTAATCTTAATCGTACCTTAATCTAATCTTAATCTAATCTTGCAGTTCGAGACGGTCGATGCCAGTGCGCCATGGGTTGCTTCAGAGTCAGAGACTATGTGTGTGGAAGCGATAATGTCACCTACACTTCAGAGTGTTACATGCATGATGAAAACTGTAACAAACCAGTGTTGGAGAGACCGACCGTCAGCAGACGTGGACGATGCGAAGATTAAGCAGTAAATTAGATCAACAAGCAACAAGAAATTTTTACATAATATACAGAAATTACATACGATATCAGAAAATATATAGTAGTAATCAGAGTTAAGTTAAATGAAGAAATAATAAAAACAACTCATTTAAAAAAATAAGCATTTCCTATGAATCCTTCATTAAAATTAAATGTAATACAGAAAAATATGCAAAAAAAGGCGGGGGGGGGGGGGGGGGAAATGGGCTGAACATTTGACAAAACATGCGAAAACGTAGCTTAATAATTTATAACGATTTTAATAAATGCCCCCCCCCTTTTTTTCCCCATTTTCATTTGTTTCCACTTCTTGTAATCGCACATTTTTTTTTTTCTCGCCCCTGAACTATATTAATAATGAAATGAACCACACGCTTTAACATCGCAGATTTCTTTCACCAACTATTTCAGTGAAAACAACAAATGAAAATATTACTCCCCAAAAACAAACTTACGATATTTTTTTATATTCTAAATCTCATTTAGCGAAGTTATCGGGAGTATTTCAACTCTGAAAAAAAAAGAGGAACAACTGAATTTTGGGTTTGGATTGAAGTTTGGGGAGGGGACATGAACATTTGAAAGAATCTGTTGTCATTGACAACGAGACTGGTTGCCAAGTTGCAAGATCGATATCTTGACGGGAAATTGGTCACTTAGCCGTCCGAAGATTTTGCCCGTCCAGCCGGTCAGTTAACTAGCCGCAAGCAAAAAAAAAGCGAAGTTAAAAGAAGGGATTTTTAAATATAGTTTTTGGCAGCGTTTAATCTCTTATGCAGCCCGCTGAAAAACATGAGGGTATCATCAGGAAGAGTCTTGACGTTTATGCATCTGTTTCTGTCATTAAAGTTTACGCTGAAAAACATGAGGGTATCATCAGGAAGAGTCTTGACGTTTATGCATCTGTTTCTGTCATTAAAGTTTACGCTGAAAAACATGAGGGTATCATCAGGAAGAGTCTTGACTTTTTTGCATCTGTTTCTGTCATTAAAGTTTACGCTGAAAAACATGAGGGTATCATCAGGAAGAGTCTTGACTTTTATACATCTGTTTCTGTCATTAAAGTTTACGCTGAAAAACATGAGGGTATCATCAGGAAGAGTCTTGACTTTTATGCATCTGTTTCTGTCATTAAAGTTTACGCTGAAAAACATGAGGGTATCATCAGGAAGAGTCTTGAATTTTATACATCTGTTTCTGTCATTAAAGTTTACGCTGAAAAACATGAGGGTATCATCAGGAAGAGTCTTGACTTTTATGCATCTGTTTCTGTCATTAAAGTTTACGCTGAAAAACATGAGGGTATCATCAGGAAGAGTCTTGACTTTTATACATCTGTTTCTGTCATTAAAGTTTACGCTGAAAAACATGAGGGTATCATCAGGAAGAGTCTTGACTTTTATGCATCTGTTTCTGTCATTAAAGTTTACGCTGAAAAACATGAGGGTATCATCAGGAAGAGTCTTGACTTTTATGCATCTGTTTCTGTCATTAAAGTTTACGCTGAAAAACATGAGGGTATCATCAGGAAGAGTCTTGACTTTTATGCATCTGTTTCTGTCATTAAAGTTTACGCTGAAAAACATGAGGGTATCATCAGGAAGAGTCTTGACTTTTATGCATCTGTTTCTGTCATTAAAGTTTACGCTGAAAAACATGAGGGTATCATCAGGAAGAGTCTTGACTTTTATGCATCTGTTTCTGTCATTAAAGTTTACGCTGAAAAACATGAGGGTATCATCAGGAAGAGTCTTGACTTTTATGCATCTGTTTCTGTCATTAAAGTTTACGCTGAAAAACATGAGGGTATCATCAGGAAGAGTCTTGACTTTTATGCATCTGTTTCTGTCATTAAAGTTTACGCTGAAAAACATGAGGGTATCATCAGGAAGAGTCTTGACTTTTATGCATCTGTTTCTGTCATTAAAGTTTACGCTGAAAAACATGAGGGTATCATCAGGAAGAGTCTTGACTTTTATGCATCTGTTTCTGTCATTAAAGTTTACGCTGAAAAACATGAGGGTATCATCAGGAAGAGTCTTGACTTTTATGCATCTGTTTCTGTCATTAAAGTTTACGCTGAAAAACATGAGGGTATCATCAGGAAGAGTCTTGACTTTTATGCATCTGTTTCTGTCATTAAAGTTTACGCTGAAAAACATGAGGGTATCATCAGGAAGAGTCTTGACTTTTATGCATCTGTTTCTGTCATTAAAGTTTACGCTGAAAAACATGAGGGTATCATCAGGAAGAGTCTTGACTTTTATGCATCTGTTTCTGTCATTAAAGTTTACGCTGAAAAACATGAGGGTATCATCAGGAAGAGTCTTGACTTTTATGCATCTGTTTCTGTCATTAAAGTTTACGCTGAAAAACATGAGGGTATCATCAGGAAGAGTCTTGACTTTTATGCATCTGTTTCTGTCATTAAAGTTTACGCTGAAAAACATGAGGGTATCATCAGGAAGAGTCTTGACTTTTATGCATCTGTTTCTGTCATTAAAGTTTACGCTGAAAAACATGAGGGTATCATCAGGAAGAGTCTTGACTTTTATGCATCTGTTTCTGTCATTAAAGTTTACGCTGAAAAACATGAGGGTATCATCAGGAAGAGTCTTGACTTTTATGCATCTGTTTCTGTCATTAAAGTTTACGCTGAAAAACATGAGGGTATCATCAGGAAGAGTCTTGACTTTTATGCATCTGTTTCTGTCATTAAAGTTTACGCTGAAAAACATGAGGGTATCATCAGGAAGAGTCTTGACTTTTTTGCATCTGTTTCTGTCATTAAAGTTTACGCTGAAAAACATGAGGGTATCATCAGGAAGAGTCTTGACTTTTATGCATCTGTTTCTGTCATTAAAGTTTACGCTGAAAAACATGAGGGTATCATCAGGAAGAGTCTTGACGTTTATGCATCTGTTTCTGTCATTAAAGTTTACGCTGAAAAACATGAGGGTATCATCAGGAAGAGTCTTGACCTTTATGCATCTGTTTCTGTCATTAAAGTTTACGCTGAAAAACATGAGGGTTTCATCAGGAAGATTCTTGACTTTTATGCATCTGTTTCTGTCATTAAAGTTTACGCTGAAAAACATGAGGGTATCATCAGGAAGATTCTTGACTTTTATGCATCTGTTTCTGTCATTAAAGTTTACGCTGAAAAACATGAGGGTATCATCAGGAAGAGTCTTGACTTTTATGCATCTGTTTCTGTCATTAAAGTTTACGCTGAAAAACATGAGGGTATCATCAGGAAGAGTCTTGACTTTTATGCATCTGTTTCTGTCATTAAAGTTTACGCTGAAAAACATGAGGGTATCATCAGGAAGAGTCTTGACTTTTTTGCATCTGTTTCTGTCATTAAAGTTTACGCTGAAAAACATGAGGGTATCATCAGGAAGAGTCTTGACTTTTATGCATCTGTTTCTGTCATTAAAGTTTACGCTGAAAAACATGAGGGTATCATCAGGAAGAGTCTTGACGTTTATGCATCTGTTTCTGTCATTAAAGTTTACGCTGAAAAACATGAGGGTATCATCAGGAAGAGTCTTGACCTTTATGCATCTGTTTCTGTCATTAAAGTTTACGCTGAAAAACATGAGGGTTTCATCAGGAAGATTCTTGACTTTTATGCATCTGTTTCTGTCATTAAAGTTTACGCTGAAAAACATGAGGGTATCATCAGGAAGAGTCTTGAATTTTATACATCTGTTTCTGTCATTAAAGTTTACGCTGAAAAACATGAGGGTATCATCAGGAAGAGTCTTGACTTTTATGCATCTGTTTCTGTCATTAAAGTTTACGCTGAAAAACATGAGGGTATCATCAGGAAGAGTCTTGACTTTTATACATCTGTTTCTGTCATTAAAGTTTACGCTGAAAAACATGAGGGTATCATCAGGAAGAGTCTTGACTTTTATGCATCTGTTTCTGTCATTAAAGTTTACCGATATAATTGTTTGATTTACACGGTAATTATCTTTGCGTCCGATTATCAATTAATCATCAAAATGTAATAGGTTATAATTGAATCTTACTCTTCTGAGTATAGCTATAGTGATTCTTTAATATCTTAGCACAGGGTTAGGGAAACTTTTTTGTCTCAGAGAGCCATGGAACCAAATATTTTTGAAAAGTAATTCTGTGAGAGCCATTACATTATGTTTAAAACTAAAAATTTTAGAAAATTTGTGGAATGAAATATTGATATGCAATTAATATTTAGATCAAAGGAGTCTAAGGAAACATGTTTTTGTTTATAATTGAACATTTGTCAGCGAGCCAGATGCAGCAATCAATAGAGCCACGTCTGGCTCGTGAGCCATAGGTTCCCGCCCCCTGTCTTGGCAGCTTTAGAAAAAGAAATATTATGTTAAAATTTGTACAAATGTTGATCCATAAAGCATAATCCAATACAAATGAAATGAATGGTGTTGTTATTTGTTATTTTTTTTGTTTTTTAAACATTAAAGTAAACTTGCTTTAGAAATGTAAAAACGTTTCACGGGATTTACATTTGATATAAATTTAATTAAAAATTTACAAATATCGCGACACTGTTACGTGTACTCATACACAATTTTGCAAGAGGGTAATCGATTTTTTTTTATTAACGAAAAAAAGATATTTTTAACGGTTGGTGTTATAGCTCAGTGGTCAATTTGTGTGGGAGCCGGTAAAGTTAGGAAAAAAAGGAAAGTGGGGTTGGTGGGGAGATAGACATTTCCAGTTTTGGCCTAGCACAATGATAGGGGTTTTAGGGGGGTGGGATGTAACAATCAGACGCAAAAGGATGATTTCCGTGAAGGAGACGTAAAAGGAGTTTGGGATTAAAGAAGGGGTACGGATATGAACATTAGAATAATGAGATAGTATCAATGGAGTTTTTTGAGCATGTATATCTTCTGAAATAATGAGACACCAAGACAATCAACCACGATTAATTTGCCATTAATTTATCCTAGCCGGTAGTATAACAAATAATATGTTGCGACATGGCTGGGATGGGGGGAAGAACATCTATGATCTTGGTTTAGAAGAGATGGGACAGTGTTTTGGCGGAAGGTGGAAGATCGGTGGAAACTCAATCGAAAAAATGGCGTTTAAAA